CTGATGTCTGCTTATTGAAACTGCATTTTCATTTTTCCTTAACTTAGAAGTTTTCATTGTGAAACCACTCCTGACACTCTGATTGTTTTCTTTCTTGAGCCTTTTGTGTTCTTTGTTTTCCTAACTCAATTTACTCATCCCATTTAATGAATTCTTCTGAAGCATTGACTGTTTTATCTATTTCTGTGATCTCAATTTCTAACAAAAAGTTTTTTGGTATTCATGAAATATTAGATTGAGCTGTGTGAAATTGCTATTTTCTTGGTTAAAATGATGTATATTATTACTAATTTCATTTGTACCAAACTAATAAATTTTATTCATTATATATTTGCATAGACTACTTAAAAGACTGGGGGGGATGGGTAAATAAATAAATTCTTTTCCTCCCTCTCTCTTCCCCAGTTTCATACATACATGTATGTGTATAAATAGTATGAAAACAATATTTATGTATACTATGTGTATGTGTGTATATATATATATATATATATATATATATGTAATTTTAAGTATATTTTCCCCACATACTCTTCTATCTTCTCCACATACTACTTTTTCTTGCCCTTTACCCTCTGCATACTTTCCTCTGTGTTTCATTCTTTTTGAGACAGTGTCTTACGGTGTAGCTGAGTATGGCCTTGAACCAATACTGCCCAGCCTCCTATGGACACTTAAAGCAAGCATAGAAGTGTAGCTACGTTTGCATTCTTTTGCAAGGAAAACATGCTCCTAATTTGTCATACCAAATGATTTTTTTCTGTGTGGTTATTTAAGACTGCTTAAGATCATAGTAAAAATTACATTCAAACTCTTGAATGTAAATGTTCAACTGTATATTTCGTATAAGTTTAAGGCAATTGCCAAAGTACATTTCTGTATAATGTTCTTGGGAGGCATCTAAGTAGCTTATTTTCTGTTACTTTGATTTAATATTTTTTAAAATGCCTGAATGTTCAAGACCAATGCTTTTAGCTAAAAATAATACAATCAAATGGAAAGGTTTTATTCTCAGAAAAAAAAAAAAAGTGTTTTAAGAAGGTTCTTTAAACTCCAATCCATGGACTCGAGCTTTAAAATACCCATTCAGAGGAGTGAACGGTGCATCCTTCAGACCAACTGGAACTCATTTTTCTTTATTTTTGACAGGGTTTCTCTATTAGGTAGGCCAGGCTGGTCTCAGACTAACGGAGATCTGCTTGCTTCTGCTTTCCAAGTGCGGCACTACCATACCCAGCAGGATATTTGATATGCAATTCCAAAGTTGTTACCGACAGGTTGAGAACCACCGAGATAGTCTATATGAAGTCAGTGGTACTCACTGTGGGAGTAGATATTTTAATTTTGAAAATGAAAAATAATGAATTCTTTCAATTGGTGTTTTTAAAAGGATCAGTCTATTCTATGGTGGATTAAAGTTGTATTATGTCTTAAGTATTTTAATTAAGCTTGTGAAGTCAAATGATTAAAAATGGGGACCTAAGCAGAGAATGGCCAGGGGTCATCAAACTTTAGCTTTTAAATACATTTTTTTTCTCATTTAATGAGCACATGGATCCTTTCTTCAAAGATCCCTGTATTGCTCTGACTCGTGGTGTAATAATGCTAGTACTGATAGTGTTAATTCACTCAGCACATAATTCGGTGCCAGGCACTGTGGTAAGTGCTGTATGTGTATTAATTCAGACCCCCCCCACATATGCCATAGTATTAAACTTTCATGTGTAATGTACACATGAGGAAAGTGGTAGGACTGTTTATTCTATCTAACAGTACTGGTTCACTTGCCTTCCACCCCCATGTGGTTATACATGGCAAACATTGCTATATTTACTGTTAATTTCAGCTATTTAGGATATAAATTGAACATCTTTCTTATTTTTATTCTAATTACATAGCCTCCTTAAATAAGACCTCTAATTTGTGCTGTATAAGAGAAGGAAGGAGGCATGCCATGTGACATTTGTCCAGTTTGGGAATATGAGGCAGAGTGGCTGGATAAATTCTTAAATTTGATTTTTTAAGGCTACTTGAAATAATGCACATTTTTGACCTTCCTCATGAGGAATGAATTTCTCTCATAAGGCCTCTCAAGGAATGAATTTCTCTCATAAGGCCTCTCAAGTCTGACTTGCATGTGTCCCCTAGACTCTTATTGAAGAGTCTAGGGGACATCTCTCTTGCAACTGATATCAGTCTATTTAAGACTTACAGTTAATCATCTTGCCTTCAGATGTGGCCAAGATACTGAAATTTTATTTATAGTGCTTGTTTTATAATAAACAAATTAGGGGGTTTTGCATTGTTAATTGGGCTTTAAAATTTTTGGTAATTTCTGATGTAGAAGATATTGTTAACTACTTAGTCTGGTGTCTGAGGTCTTTCTAGGTTCCTCTCTTGGGTACCTAACACTACCATACTGGAACACTTTTGATAATGCCACTCTGCTTTCTGTGTTCGTTAGACCTCCTCTTTTATCCAACTTCCAGCACATTCTCCTTCCAAGTCAGGCAGATTAAAGGACTGAATATGTTTACAAAATGCTTTTAGCTTGTGTTGTGGTAATTTACAACATAATCAGATCTTAGTTCCTTATCCAAACTTTCAAACTTCTTGTGATTGTCCCCTTGAGGTATTACCTATAGATACAGTTGATTAATGTTTATTAGGCAGTGAGTCTTACAACCTGCAAATTGTAAATGCATGCCTTTATGAAGTTCAAAGTAAAGTTAAACATCATCTTAGAAATATACAGTTGTGAAAAGACCTTATGAGTGGTATTGAATCAGTAGGGCTTAGCAAACAGAATTGAGTATTCTACTAGCCTTCAGAGGCTACAGAGGATATTTGTTTTCAAAACCTTGAAGGTAAGGTAGGATATGAATTTGTTCATTCAGTGCCATTCTATGGTTTGTAAACTGTAAGTGCATTTGATTTTTTTCTTATGATCACCCTGATTTTAGTAGGCTAGACAAAGTAACATGCTGTCCTGTTCTGATGAGAGAAGCTGTGAGTTAGTGGCAGTTTTCCTTACTTGTTCTGATGCCAAATTTTTTTTGAATGATTATCCTCCTTAAGCTGATTTTCCTTCTTAAAAAGTTAAGTCTGTCTGATAGGTGTGGAGTTTGATACTTGTGATTTCTTCACTTGGAAAGCTGAAACAGGAGAATAGCTTTTGGTATCTCCACTCTCCCTCCCTCCCTCCCCCAACTCCAGGCCACATAGTGAATTCTAGGCTAGCATTTGTCAAATAGCAGTTAAAGATAGGGCAATGGTAGAATTTCAGAGGGAAGGTGGGAATGTGAGAAGTTCAGAGTCATCCTCTGTGAGAACCTGTCTCAAAAGTAGAAAAAAAATCTGTCAACCAGTGTGTCACTGCTTAAAATGTGTGTGGCCTTGAGTGTAGAAAGTGAGGAAATTGAAGTGTGAAGAATGATACCAGCTAGGTAGCTGCCCTTAGTACTAATCAGTGGTGATACTTCAAATTTTCTAGAGAACACCAAAATAGTTTTTACACAGGGCTCAGTTCAAGACTGTAAATCCAAGAGTATTGTTTTTTCCAGCGATGCCTTCCACAGTGTTTCCTGCTAGTAAACAGATTGGTGTGCACTTCCTGTACCTGTGTTCTGTTTGGATGCTCTTGGTGCCATTCGTGTTGCCTACCACATCTCCTGCATTTTATCTTTAGTGTCTAGACAACTGCTGTATGCCAGATACTATGCTTTACAGTCATCCAAAAGCCAGCAGGTCATCTTTACCCATTTCACAGGGGGAAACTGAGACATAGGGTAGCATCACACAGCCAGTAAGTGATAGAGCATAAACTTCAAACAACCTAGCTGAGATAATGCATATCATAAAGTTAACCTTTCAGTGAACAGTTGTGTCTATAGGTATGTCTTTGTAGTACTAAGAATTGAACCTGGGGTCTTGAGCATACTAGACAATTGAACGAACTCTAAGCACTCTTTTCACTTTTTATTTTGAGGCAGTTTCACTAAATGAATTTCTGATCCTCCTGCCTCAACTTTTCCAAGTAGCTGGAATTACAGGTCTGGCCAGTGAGTTGTTTATTAACTATGTTTTAGTTTAGTTTAGTTTTAAAGCATGTGAGTGCTTTGCTTACAGGAATGCCCATGCACCATCTGCCTGACATGCCCACAGAGGCCAGAAGATGGGATCAGAGCCCCTCTGAGTTCATAGATGATTGGGAGCTGCGTGTGGGCACTGAGAATTGTATCTAAGTCCTGGGAGGAGCAACCAGTGTTCTTAAATGCTAAGCTGTCTCCCCAGCCCCAAGAAAATTTGAATAACCTATATTCAGTTCTGTGACCAATGTGTACATGTACACACATACACGCAAAAAAAATCAATTAAAAGAGAAAGAATGAATTTCAGTATGACATTTTAATACATTTACGCAATTTTCTCCATTATCGTCTCTTGTCCTCCTCACATTCCTGTTGACACTCTTCTTCTCAGTCTCCAATTTTGATACATTATTTTTCTATTCTGGTGGCCTAGTGAGTTTAGTACATAGGTGAGCATTTACAGGAGTGTGGGAAACTTACTGTGGCAACACCACTGATAAAAATGTCTCTCCCTCTCTTAACATGTTATCTTTTTGTGACTGGCTTCTTTAACATTTTCAAGGCTTACCTACATTGTGCTATATTAACGTGAAACAGTATTCCATAGTGTGGATATACTGAAGATTTGAACCAAGTCTGTATGGTTCTGAAGTTCATGCTGTTGCAACCATGTCATGTTAATTATTGTGTATGTGCTGCTAGATTAGGAGTTTCTTGATGAAATGTCTTTATACTGTAGGTAGTACTCACAATGTCCTGGGTACCTTTCCATAATAAACATTAATTTTGGTGTTTTGATATGTAGATAATAAATTGAAGTCCTAGTTATTTTTTTCTAATTCATGGTATTATTGAAAATAGCTTTCTGTATTATTATAGAAAACCTAAGCATGTTTTCTCTATGTCTAGGAAGAAAAACCAGGAAGGATAAAGGATTGCTGGAACAGCCAGGAAGTTCCTGCACTCTCTACATGTAGCAATGCCAATATCTTTCGAAGAATAAATGCCATTTTGGATGATTCTCTGGACTTCAGTAAAGTCTGCACAACACCTGTAAATCGAGGAATTCATGATCATTTGCCAGGTAATTAAGATTTGAAAATTGGGACGCACATGGTGTGTTGAGAACTGCAGCTAAGCAGTGCATGCTAGGAGGCTTCATTGGGAAGCCTATGGAGAACACACTGAGTCTATGGCAGTACTTGCCCATTTCATGGTTTACCTTATGGTTTGGAACCCCTTATGTGTGGAGACTGCCTGTGATTAAAATAAAGATACCTGTTTTGTGTAATGCACAAGAAGCGTTGAATTAAAAAGACTTAAAGTAACAGTATTTATATGTGGAATGAAGGGGGCGGGAAGTAGTAGGGGTGGTAGTGATGCAGACATACAATTTCAGCTCTTAGGAGATGGAGAAATGTAAGTTTGGGAACATCCTGGAGTATGTAGCCATTTCAAGGCCAGAATGAGATGGCATAGACCTTGTCTCAGAAACAGAAAACATAACCACCGATTGTTAGTCTGGGTTCTAGCCCCAGGACCACAAAGGAGTATAATGTGAGTCATGTTGCTAAAGATGTTTGGTAGCTGTTTAAATTATTGGGCTGGAAAGTACTTGCTGCTCTTATAGAAGACCTGGGCTTGGTTCCCAGACCAACATCAGGCGGCTCACAGCACCTGTAACTGCGGTTCTAGGGAATTTGACACCCTATCTGGTCCCTCAGGGAAGAGGCACACACGTGGTACCTATACATATATTTAATCATTCACATATATACATAAAAGTAAGTTTTTTAGAAAGTTAGATTTGAAATAAATTTAATATTTAGCTCAACATATAAAACGCTTCATTGTCAACATATAATCAGGTTCAGATCCACAGGATCTGAATGTGGATCTGATATTGTCAGGACTAGGGAAGAGTGGAAGCAGGATGGCTGTTAGGTCTGCTAGCTACCAGTCTAGCAGAAACCTGGGGTGGGGACATGCACATACACATACAAAACCAAAGCAAAACCGTGAGCTCCAGGTTCAGTAAAAGACCCTATGCTCAGAGGAATAAGGCCAAGAGTGATGAAAGGCAGAACACAGTTTACTAACATATTTTCATACTGAGTATAGGTTGACAAGGCATTTCAACTCTAACTTAAAAAAATTACTTTTGTGTGTATATTTGAGTGCTTAAATATATGTATATGTAGTTTTCCCGTATGTAGAAGACTACTGATCAGCAGGGGAGGGGAAAGCTCCTAAAGATAACTCTTGCCAAGAAAGTATGGATACCCTTGACAGTGTTTCATAATCTTTTGTGGGAGTTGCAAAGATGTTTTGAGAATATAGAGGAAATGTTTCGTTTGAGTCATTTTAGAAGAAAGAAAGCATCTTTTATTTTTTTTAGAATGGCCTTTGGAAAAAAAGAGCAACAGTTTCCCAGAATGACTGGCAAGTACTGTTCTTTAGTTATAAATTCTGTAATGTTTTTAAATTTGGTGTTGGAAATAATTCACATGAAGATGTCTATGAACGTTAAGTAGCTAAACATTTGGAGGAAAAACTCTTGAAGAATAGAACTGAAGGGCTTTGCAGTTAAGAGCACTTATTGCCCTTGCTGAGGACTCCAGGTCTGGCCCCTAGATGGTGGCTCACAACCTCTAAGTGCAGTTCCAAGGCCTTCTAAAGCCCTCTTCTGACTTCATCAGCACTGCACATAGGATGCATGCACTCAGGCATACACAAATATGCGTGAAATAAAATACATAAATAAATTTAAAAAGAATAAAACTGATGCTGGATGTGGTAGTGATCACCTATAACCTCAGCTCTTGGGAGGCTAGACAGGGGTATTGTCATGAGTTCAAGGCTAGCCTGAGTTACTGAATGAGGCCCTGTCTCAAATACAAAAATGAAAAAGGTGTCTGTAGAATTTATTTCTGTTAAATTGTACAGGAAGTTACAGAAGAAAGGGGTATTTGACAGTCTGGATGCTGCCTCTACCAATTTCTGAAGATATACATAAATAAAAACTTGGAGCTAACGAAGCTCTCCATTAACTTACAGTGAGTTTAAAATTCATGGAAGTTTCTTAAGTTTCTAATACGTGTTTTTTTACTCTCTAAGAAAACTGTGATTATATTTTCTAGTAAGGCTTGGGATAAGAGTATAACTTAGTGGTAGAGTGAGTGCTTAGTGTATACACAGCCTTGGGATTCTTAGTGGAAAAGAATAAAGAATGACCATCACCAGTGGCTTAAGCCTCAGTGAGTTGCTTCAGTCACACATAAAAACTTTCTAGTTGATAAACTATTCTTCAGTTGGTGCAAGGTTGTTGAATTGTCCTTTAGAATGGTGGTTCCAAAGCCATGAAGGTAATACACATTTTGTTTCAAAAGATTTCTCAAAACAAAACACTCCCATAGCATATATTCATTGTACTGGCTATTGTGGCATTTTCATATAAGTATTTGCTATATATTGGGCATATTTCTTTCCATACCTTCCCCCAGCCTTCTCTCCCCCATTAGTTCCTTTAATCCTCCTAGATAAACTGTTTCTAGTTCATGTCATATATGCATACGTGATTTGTATGTATCTGTACAAAATATAGGGTCTTTATATGAAATAAAAGATTTGTCTGACAGAGACTGGATTAATTCATTTAATATGTTTATCCTCAGTTGCATAAGTTTTCCTGCAGACAACATAACTTCATTCCTTATGACTGAAGAATTAGATTGTGTTTGCTGTTGGACACTTAGGTGGCTTTCTGACTTTGCTGCTATGGGCAGTGCTGCAATAAACATTGGTGTGCAGTAAATATCCAGAAGTAGTAGAGCTGGGGCATGGGGTAAATATATTTTTAGTTTTTTTTGGTTTTGAGGAACTGCTATATTTCTGTGTTGGCTATGTAATCTTATATTCCCACCAGCACTGTATAAGAGGTTACTTTTTGTTCACATTGCAGTTAGCATTTGTTGTTGGTATTTTTAATTTATTTTATTTTAAAATGTGTGTGTACACACACATTTATCAAATGCAGGTATTCATGGATGCCAGGGATGTTGGATCCCCCGGAGCTGAAGTTACAATGTAGTTGTGAGCTGCCAGATGTGGGTGCTAGGATGTTTCTGGTGCTGGGAAACAAACTCTGGTCTTAGAACAATAGCTTTTAACCCACGAGCTGTAGGTATTCTGATTTATTCTGCAGTGAATAAATTGACTGTCTAATGTTGTCTCTTGGTGAACATAAGTTGTTCATTTTAAGGTCATTCCAATTTATTGCTATTTATAGTTAGCATTTTCATTTTATAGTTAAACTTTGCCCTTTTCAAGGATATAATATTTGTGTGCTATCTTTGGAAAACTTTGATCTTTTAATTAATGATGTAAATGATACTTAAATTTCTCTTTTTAATTAATTTTTATTTTTTAATATTAATCACAGGGCATTTACTTTGTATCCCAGCCGTAGCCCCCTTCCTTATTCCCTCCCAATCCCAACCTCCCTCGTTCATCTCCTCCCTGTCCCTTTCCAAGTCCACTGCTAGGGGAGGTCCTTCTCCCCGATACTTAAATATCTTAAGATTTCTTTTTATTTATGTGCATGTGTGTTTGTGTGATTATATACCCTATGTGTATGCATAAGTGAAGAAGCCACAAGAGGGCATCAGGTCTCCTGGAGCTGAAAATAATGAGCAGTTAGTTGTGAACTGCCTATGAGTGATGGGAATCAAACTCTGATCTTTTTCAAGAGCAGGGAAAACTCTTAACCTCTGAACCTCTTTACATATCTGCCTGCATTTTTCTTATTTCTTAGTTGTTTGCTAGTATATAGGAAGATAAGCTTTTGTACATTGACACTGTAGTCAATAATGTTGTTAGGTTCACTTATAAATGCTAATATCTACTTCCTTATAGGGTGTTCCAGAGCTTCTATATATAATTACCTTGTCTGAGGATTATGATTATTTCAGATTTTTTTATTTTCCTTTTTTCTCGCTTGTAATCCAGGGTTAATTAGGAATGAGAATGTAAGCATTATTGTTTTACTTTGTAGTCTTGGGGAGGACTGATGAGTGTTGAGGGTTTGAGCATTTTACTAGTAGGTATACTGGAGCTTGTGGATATTCTTTAAGTGATTGAGGAAATTTTCAGTTTTCTGAGCAGGTTTTTAGAGAAAAATCATGAATTTGTTTTTGTTTTGTTTTCTTGAAGAGTCTTGCTATGTGTCCCTGGCTGGCTTGGAGCTGGCTGTGTAGCGCAGGCCGCCCTTGAGTTCATAGCATTCCTCTTGCTCTGCATAGGTCCCTCTCATGGCACAGGCTTCTCGGTAGACTGGTTGTTGGTTGGCCACTCCCACAAGGCCTGTGTTCCCTAGCACATCTTGCAGGCAGGACAGAGTGTAGGTCAAAGGTTTTGTGGCTGTGTTGGTGTCGCAGTCCCACCCCTGGAAGCCTTGCCTCGTTACAGAGGATGTCTGATACAGGTTCCGTATCCCTCATTACTAGGAATTCCTGTATATCTATTGAAATACTTGTAAAAGTTTAAATACAATATATATTTGATAATTTCATACAATATATTTGGATCTATTTATTTTCTATTCCTTCCACTACTTTCAGATCCACCCCTCAAATTTTTTGTGCAGTCTAAGGGTTTCATTTTGACATTTTTTGAAGGATTTCTATACTATATTTAAAAACACAAAATAAAAAAGGGATCCATCAACATTTTGATATTTCTTTTTTTTTAAAGGATTTATTTGTTTACCAGGTATACAGTGTTCTGCCTGCATGTACACCTGCACACCAGAACTCATTATAGATGGTTGTGAGCCACCATATGGTTGCTGGGAATTGAACTCAGGGCCTCTGGAAGAACAGCCAGTGCTCTTAACCTCTGAGCCATCTCTCCAGCCCCCCATTTTGATATTTCTATATATACATATAGTATACTTTGATCTTATTCACCCTCTCTGTCAGTCTTCCTTTTTCTCTTCTCACAATCCTAGCATTCTTTTGTGGTGGTTTGAATAAGAATGGCCCCATAAACTCATAGATTGGAATGTTTGGTCACTAGAGAGTAGCA